CAAGATTCTCCGGTAGAGGAACACAAAAACAAAAAGCAAGATTCTCCGGTAGAGGAACACAAACACAAAAAGCAAGATTCTCCGGTAGAGGAACATAAACACAAACACAAAAAGAAAGGTTCTCCAGTAGAGGACCACAAAAACAAAGTGTTGGAGCAAGAACCATCTAATGAATCTTTGAGAAAAGAAGAGAAGTTGTTGAAAAGAGATGAACATGTTTCCCCAAAGCATATGGTGGGTGATACATTTTCTTCTTTAAAAGACATTTGCTTCAAAAATAATTATTACATCTTTTTCTGTTTGGTGAACCTCCCTGCTACCCAGAAACAATAGGTAAAAGAGTAAAAAATGCATGAAAAATATACAAAATTGCCCATTTGGTGCTTCAAAGGTAAGCTCTATCCTTCAAGAAAAGCATGTTGCCTTTTTATATGTCTGTCAATGCCACAAGGCTGTTATATGAAATTCAAATTCTCTTCTTGTAGCGAACTGAAGATGTCAAGGAAGTCAAAAGTGCTTTGCCTAAAGAGGAGCCGAAACCATCTGGCGATCTTGATGGAAATGAGCGGAATGTTTCCAAGAATCTTAAGTTTAACCCTGTAAAGGTTGTGAAAGAGGACCCACAAAAAAAGTTGAGGTTGTGTAATCAACTCAAGGACTTGAAACTGAAGGAAAGTACATTAGAAAATCAATTGAAAGAGGTTAGCCACGTTGTTGATACTAAATTTTATGTAGGTTGTATTTCAATTGTTATGATCCCAATGATTATGATATTTCTTCCCCTTAGAAGTGTAGAACATGTGAAGTATCTTTTGGTCCTCTAGGATAAGTCTTGGTGTTCTAAAGCTCCCTTTGGATAGAGATATGATGAAAAAGGAGAATTATAAGTTGTTTTGAGCAAACCTTTTCCTTCCCTCCGTCCAATCAAAATTGCAACGATCTGTTTTGGTGTTCTCCTTGAGAACACTTGTTAAGATTACTAGGATGGATCTTCTTAAAGTTGTTTACTATTTAACCAACGATTTGTTCTGATTATGAATCTTTTTGTAGGCCAAATCCACCATCTCTAGTCTAACCTATCAGAATAGCAAAATCATTGAAGCGAAAGAGATACTTCAGCTGGAACTGGTGAGCGCATTGCATTTGTTTTCCTAGTCCTTTATTTTCCTCACTTCAGCTATTTATCCACAAAGGAGCTTGACAGAAAAAGAAACATAATAGGGGAAATGTTCATTAGGTTACCATAGATACCTCAAGTAAGGCTTTGTCCAAGCTCGGTAACAACTTATTTTTAACAGCACATCAAAATAGAAGCACATATCCAACCCAAAGGTAAGGTTTGGGGGTAGGATGTGTATAGACCTTACCCTTTGTCTTAAGAAACTGAGAGATAGGGGTCGTTTACCAAATGCTTACCAAGTCATATTATCTTACCGGTTGAATATGGCAAGGACCAAAAATCTTACATGCTAAGAGCGAGAGAAGGTTCGAGAGTCTTACCCGGTAAGTGAGGGCGATAACTCTTACCACGGTTAGTGCTTACCGGGTAAATTGTTGCATATGATGCCGTTTTTGTTGACTAAAATCTTACCCGGTAAGTAAGTGACAGTGTTGAATTTCTAACACTAAATGCTTACCGAGTAAGTATATGATAAACGACCCCTTACTCAGGGGGGTTAGTTTCTAAGAAGCAATAGTCAAGAACATGACAAAATGTGATGATAGTTACATTTAGGGGCCGTTTACCAAACTCTTACCGAGCAAGCATGGCAAGGACCGATAATCTTACCCGGTTAGTGAGGGAGAAGACTCTTACCCAGTAAGTGTTTACCGGGTATAAGATGCTTAACACAAATCATTTTAATTACCGAGAATGTTACCTGTTAAGGTAAGTGAGGATGATAACTCTTATCGCTAAGTGCTTACCCAGTAAGAGTTTGGTAAACTGCCCCTTAGATACCTTTGGATCAAAGACCACTTTTGTGAAACATGTAGTCGTTTCTCAAACATATAGATATCAACTACCATCTTATGACATCATGAACACGCCAATCCCTTTAGTTATGAGTTTTGATTTTACGTTGTTGTCACACACATATAGACAAAGGATCATGTGAAAATAGAAGTTAAGGTGAGAAACTTAAGAAGAAATCCATTCTCACAAGTACCCAACCCTATATATATAGGGTCAGATTCATTTAGGAACTTAAATAATTTAGGAACCTAGGAACCACCTATTTTATGAGTATTCATGATGAATATTCATGAATATCTTTCATGACATTCATCATAATTATTATGTCATGTTATTCATCATGAATACTCACAAAAAAGGTGGTTCATGGGTTTTTAAAATATTTAAAGTTCCTAAATGAACCTCTCCTCCTCTCTCTCTCTCTCTCTCTCTCTCTCTATATATATATATATATATATATACACACACATAGACGGATATTGAGTGCATTTAGAGTCCCTCTTCGGTTTCATCCGGCCAAAATGGGTTTTTCAGCTGAATCCTATTGTTTACTTGTTTGCAGGCGAGGAGAAGTAAGAAAGGTTTCTCCTTCGTATCTGTTTGCTTGGTGTCGCTCGTTGGTGTGATAGTCGGGTATTTCTCACAATTTTAAACAACAATTCACAATTTATACGAGATTTGGATGGTTGTATTCTTCAATTTGTACTTCATAATTGTGAATAATTGGCAAATCTATATATTGTTTCTTGTTGCCCGATGGCAATTTATTTCTTCAAAATGGTCCATATGATGTTGAAGCACAAAATTCATTTCCAAGAATAATTTTTGGCCAACAATTCTCAAGCTCGAGTTCAGAACACCAATGTTCGACTTGATTCATTCGAAAGCTCAATAAAACTTTACTAGTCGAGATGTTTGAGCATACATTATTCGAGCACAAACATATTTATGTGTTTACTAATTAAAATATAAAAATCATCGAGACGGTGATGACTTGGTTGTTGTTATTGATAGCCACAAAGTTTGAAACAGAAAACCCGAAAGATTATTGAATTGGATATTTACTACTGAAATTACCGTTTTAAAATGAACCATTTATTTGAATTCATCATATCGTGTCGTTTTTTACATCTAGCGACATTCGTGTTAAGGAAGACAATCAACGGGGTTAGTCGTATAGCTTCACATAAGGAGTTGTTTATTACAACAACAACCATTCAACCTTTAACGATCTTTCCAATCGTCTCGACAGTTTACAGATCAAATCTTGTCACAACTTGTTAGAAACGGGTTGGGTACAAAAAATTTAGGCCAAAGTGTAATCTTACAAAAGAAAACAAGTAGAAACGAGCCCATTTGAGTTGGAGAACGACTTCAGAATTCGACATCATTTTGATCGGGATAAGTAACACATTTGAAAACTTTGCACTTGGAACATAGCACATACCCAACCTGTCGAACGTGTATCCAATCATTCATCGCTCATACAAAAAACGAACTTCAAGAAACAGACCGCGGAAATGACGGGATCATAGCTGTTTATGATAAACCGATGATCAGAAAAAAGTTACTTACAGCTCTGCAAGACGGACATCTGCGGTAGATGCGATTGGTTTCAGATTTGACATTCGTCTTTTGACCTTTACAAAAATCACAAACCAACCATCCTCTCCCGTCACAAGGTTCACATTCGATCCCCGTATTTATAGCCTCCGATAAACATTTCAAAGATCAGTAAACGAGCTCAGTATATCCCATCCAAACTTGAGATTGGGAGTAAAATAATACGAAAGAGTAGAACATTTCCATCACAAGGAGATCAAAATTCAATATTTTGACATAAGAAATCATGGAGAGAATCCAGATCAAACATGTCAAGATCAAGAAAAGATCGATTCAAACAAAAGCTATACATCCATATATATATATATATATACGTGTGTGTGTGTGTGTGTGTGTGTAAAAACTGTGTGTATACATACCTGTTGTTGAAGAGTAGTGCAATGGATAGGCTTTGAAAACCGGCTGGAGTCCAGCGAGATCAGAGGCAGCCATGGCAGTTTTGTTATACCCAAAAACGCCATTTTTGTTGTTCTTCTGCAGAAACTGAGGATAAAGACTTTAAGGATGAAAATGGAGGATACCCACCACCCATAAAATCCAAAAGATTCAACCTTCCAGTTGCTAACAAATTACGAAAGTACCACTAATGTTTCACTGCTTATAAGTGAATCTACCTTCATAATTAGTGTCATTTTCGGAAATAAAAATGAAAAATGACCACCGGTAAACTGATATTCATCCTCTTCGCCGTCGCGTGGTCACGTTTCGTTATTGTCACATCCCTCCGGCTACTTTCTGGCGACCATTACTGTGACCAAACGCACCTGCCGTCCCCACAAGCTCTCCGATCAGACCAATTCACGGTCTTGATAAATGGTTACTCGGAATCACGCATTCGGATCCTGCAAACGGTCACCGGCGTGTACTCAAGCTCTCCGTCGGTAGCTGCGGTGGTTGTGTTATGGGGAAACCCGAAAACACCTAGTAAAACTTTAGTTGAGCTCTCACATAACCTCTCAATCTCGTCTCCCGGAGATGCGCCGATCTCCGTTCTCCGACAACCGTCGTCTAGTCTCAACGCCCGGTTCCTTCCCCGTCCATGGATTTCGACACGCGCCGTCCTGATCTGCGACGATGACATCGAGGTCGATCCAAAATCGATCCAATTCGCATTTAACATCTGGAGAAGCCACTCGAACAATCTAGAACAACTCGTCGGATTGTTCGCCAGATCTCACGAGATAGATCTCACCAGTCGTTCATGGATTTACACGGTGCATCCAGATCGCTACTCGATCCTACTCACGAAATTCATGTTAATGAAAACAGAGTATTTATACCAGTACAGCTGCGAAGGTGGTACATCAATGGCGGAAGCGAGATCAATCGTGGATGAGATGAGAAATTGCGAAGATATACTGATGAACTTCGTAGCAGCGAACAAAACGGGTGTCGGACCTGTTCTTGTCGGAGCTAAGAGGGTGAGGGATTGGGGAGACGCCAGGAACGACGGTGGAAGAAGGCGGCGGGGATTGATGGCCGCCGGAGAGGAGGTGTCGGTGGGTTTGAGTAGTAGGAAAAAGGGTCATAGAAAAAGCAGAGGAGACTGTATAAAAGAGTTCCATAGGGTTTTGGGGAAGATGCCATTGAGGTATAGCTATGGAAAGATGGTTGATTCAATTGGAGAACAAGGGCTTTGTGAGAAAAGTGGGAAATTGGTGTTTTGTGATCAACAACTTTCCAACTGAAATTTCATTCCCAAATTATTGCCACCAAAATCACAAAATGCATTAATAGATCATATTACAGCAATACAGTATACATTCATCGTTCATATTATGGTATGCATTTCAATATTTCATGGTGTTTCTGCATCAATGATTGATCATATTAGAGTGGTATCCTCCAGTTCTTCGACAAAGCTCGTGGTCATTTTCAGAAAATCTTTCATATCTCTCTTTTTCCACTCCTGTTAAAAAAAACCAACATCCAGAAAGATATGAATGCATAATGTCTCAAAAAAGAATGGAGGAATTGAGGATGAAGGGTAAAAGGGGCAGAAAAATACCATCTTCCAAGCATTTTTAACATGAATGGTACCTGACCCTCTTACCCCTTTTTCTGATTTCAAGAAAATATATGCTCAAAATCACATATCACTTGGCAACATTGCAACAAGCTTACCTCAAAATCCCATTCTCCATATAAATCAGGATCAGAACTGTTGGCCCAAACATATGCATAAGCCTGCAAGATCTCAGAGGTATCCTGAAGAAACAATCAGCATAATCCCTGCTTAGTTTTGTTGATTTGAAAGGTAAATGATCTTTACCAACAATTTCACATATGACTCCATACATGTGCCCTTGTGTGTTAGTTGCATATGTGGTAGTACGCAGATAGCTCAAGTACACGAAGATGAAGCAAGTCTTGTAAACTTTTAAGTTTTAACCCGTATAACTCTTCTCTCCACCATACAAATGTAAAAGTAATTAATTGCCAGATGGAAATAAAGAATTTAAACTGTTTACTTGGAGGGTATAAATAATTAAGATGATTACACAGACATACCAGCAAAGAAACATCAACAGCCCTCTTGTCATACTCATAGTCTTCAAACTTGTCCAAGATATCTAATTCTGTATCAGAAATCCCAAGTAGAACCTGCAGTAAAAACCTTTTCAAATTAGATCACTTGGTATATTGACAAACAATCACATAAGATGGTTTTGGACTAAATATTACTCTCACCTTACCAATTACCATAAACATTGTAGTGTTCTCTAGATGTACTCTGATAGAAGTATTTTGCTACTGGTCAAATGTCTAAATACCATTCAATAGGCAAGAACAAGAACTTTGTGAACAAAATCAATCCCACCATAAGTTCAATAAAGACAACGGAAAAATGATGGTTTTACAAATGTTCAGAAAAGTAAGATTTGCAATGATCGACAATCCATCGATGAAATTGTTGCAATTTTGTTGGACCGATCTTCCTGGAAATTTTAACTTTCAGAACATCAAATATGTGTATATATGTTGTCATATGCATATTAACCTGCTAATAGATTTCATGTAGCAAATTACAGGAATCAGATACACCCATATGATATGAGCTGTATGAACACAGTAGATAACAAATTAAGAATGGTAATGAGTGTAAAATGGATGATGAACACACCCTCCCTGTAACTTTCTTGTTTTTTACAGGTAGAATTGCAGGATAAATGCGCCCTTTGATGCTCGATCTATGACTACAAAACAAGAAATTGTCATCAACACATCGCTCACCAGTAACTTGAATAATAAGCTCCTGTTGAAGCCAAATATGGCTTTGAAAATTGACACCCCAGATTGAAAACGTATTAGCAGTACAAAAAAAGCCCTAATACATAAATGATCGAGGAATAATTCAAATTGGTTCAGGATTTAGGTTTAGGGTGGAGCAGAACTTAATATTATTATCTTTGATTTTCAAATGAAAAGCATAAATCTCACAAGCGATCAAGTTTGCAGGCATAAGTTTTATCCCAATACAATTAGGGTTTCAACGAATACAAAATCCTAAAAAATTCGATGATACAGTCAACAACAGAGAGAAAGAAGGGAGGAGACTGACTAGCCGTTAAGGATGGCGGTGGAGGATTGAGGGATACGGTTGAGGAGAACTCGAACGACGTCATCGGCTAAGAGGCTGCCGTAAACGAAGACTGTATGTCCATTACTGCCGCCAACACCACCACAACCACCTCCCACGGCGCCGGAGTTCGCAGATGCCATCGCCATTTCAATTCTCTCTCCCCCGCTGTTTATTAGCAGAGGAAAGTTAGAGCACTTACTCCAAACTTCGTTGCTAGCAACTCCCGGAAGCTTTCACGATACAACAGAGCAAGAACAGAGAGCAACACTTCCACAAAGTTTGGAGAGATTTGAGAGGGGAGAATATGCATATTGTTCAATGTTTAGAGGCTACTTCCTATCTTTTAAAAAAATATACTAACAACCCTGATAGTTTTATTTAATGCAACAACTCCCCTCCTACTTTATATTTATTCTATTTATCGTATATAAATATTATATACTTTAAAAAAATATTTGTCTAAACCTCATTCGAGGCAAACCTGTTGAGTTCCCTCATTCGAACCTCCTCATATTTGGTGAGGTTTGAACTTCTAACCTTCTAGAAAGCCAAAGATTCACATACCGCTAGGCCAAAAGCCCTTTGATGGCTTGAGACAAACTTATGTTACAAATAGGGACGAAAACCAGAACAAATGCAAACCACAATCATAGATTTACAATAAACAAAGCCAAACCAATGAAAAGAATAAACCATAAAAACGAAATTTGCAATTTACTCAGTTGTAGGGTATATGTAAATATATAATAGGTATCTCGTGTATAATAACGATGACCAAGATACGCGTAGAAACGTTAATTATCACGTCCAAGTCATTAATAGCGTGGAGAAATATCATATTTTGTTTCTAATGAGATTATGATGGACTGATAAAGATCCTTATTTTTCGTGTGATAACCCAACGAACTAATCTTGCTTTTGGGCAGCACGACGACGAATTCTCAGATGACCAAACTTTCCTGCACCTGGTGACGAACCCTCAAACAAAAACGGCATGTACCCTGTTGCATTCCTGTATCTCCGTTGAATCTACAAAATTCACACAAAAAGATATACTGTTATCATACGGACCATCAAACCTGCGTGTGTGTGTGTACAAGGGGTCGGGTTTAAAAAGCACCCTAATTACCATTCATCTATATGGTATACACATGTGTATACAAGTAATATGTCCGTATACATATGTGCATAACATGTGGGCATGCATAGAAACCAGAAAACATCTTCAATTACTTGCATGCACATGTGAATACTCCATAGGTAAATGATTATTAGGGTATTCCTCAGTTTTTCATTTTTTGGGTTTTCCCCTTGTAACCTCACTCTATATATGAACCTCCTGTAGATTTAAATGGGTTTCACATATTCCAACAATTCTGATCCACTGATGAGTAAATTACCTGAAGGATTTGTTCACTGCTTCTGAGACAATTCCGGCCAATCACACAAACGGTGCCACCGGATCCGCCACCGGTGATCTTTGCACCGTACAAGGTTCCATCACCAGAGGCAGATGGTTTGCCATGCTGCATTTCTTGAACCAATTGAACAAGTCGATCCGTCCCATCTGATCCTAACCCACAAGCGCTATAGCTGTAGTGACACTGCGTGACAATAAACCACGTTACCCATCAGCAACATTCCAACACGTTGTTTTCATAACGGGAAATACTTTCCGACCACGAAAAGGGTCGGTAATACCTGATACATAAGTTCTCCAAGAGCAGTGAGTTGCTCCTCTGATGAAGCCGATGTTAGTAGTGCTTTAAAGGCCTACAAATTCAAGTTCCCGTTTGAACAAAAAAACTTAGCAAAATGAAATATTCGAACTGAAAAACACAAAAAACTTCATATACCGACCTTGACACGGAAATTCTCGTATATGGGATGCCTGGTGGCTGCTTTGACTCCATACGAACGTTTTTTATCAATCGTTGTAACTGGATCGTTGTGATTATTGTATTTGGTCAAAAACGCTTCACCATTCATAGTACTCGGTAGGTCCTTAGAATAGATGGCTTCAAATCTAAAAAAGACGAAGGGAACGTGTAATATATTAGATCTTTGATTGCTTTCGGGTAACACGTTATCTATAAGGTTTCAATAATTAGTGTAAATACCTGTGAGGTGTTAGATTGCATAAATAATCTAAAGAAGCTTCATCCTCGAGCAATTCGATCGCATGCTCTTCCAATTCATCGGGATTACTCCCGTTACCATTTGGACATGATTTCGAACACATTACAGATGCTGTCGACTTTATTATTTTCCGACCCATGAAGGCTCCTATTCTCACCGATCCATAATCAGCACCGCCAATACTGTTGATCAAGAGAAAATTTATAACTCGAAACATGTGAAGAACAAAGTAAGCTCAAATCACTTGGTTTTAGGAGTATCGGTATCAAAGACCAAATACCTGTGCCGTAAACCCGAGTCAATTCCCCAAAACCGTATATGACTCGGAATGTCCACCAGCCCTAATACCTCAGCAGGCTGCAGAAATTTTCCGCACCAAGTTAGACTACTTCCACCGTCCCCAAATAAATGTCCACAATAAAAAAAGGCGCACAGTTACACTTTTTAATTAGCTAAATGACAATTTTACCCTTTGTAATAGAGAAGGTAATGAACTTCTTCATCTCATAATTAAGGGTAGAATTGGAAAGTATACCTGGCAAACCATTGCAAGAAGTTTGTTAGCTTCACCACAAGCAGAAGCCATCTGGTCCATCACACCACATGGAGCTCCAACAACAGAGTTTTCTACCTGTAGCATAATAAATAATACCAAGTGTAATGAGGGATTGGAAAATAAAGATAATTAAAATAACACCAAAATTAAAAAGTTTATGTATTTTTTTAATTTTTATATTATACTTTTTCTATAATATTTTTTATTTTTTAACCTTTAATAAATTACATAAATTAATCAAAATATAGAAACCGTGAAATAATTGAGCACGGTAAAGTGAAAGTTTAAAGAGCATAAAATACAATGAACAAAATTTAAAGAATGAATAAAATGTAAAGAGAGAGGCGTATTTGATGTTTTAGAAGAGAATTATGTTTTATTTTGAGGTTATATTGGTAAAATATATGTCTGGTCCACCTTGTTCCATGGGGTGGGGTGGAACGGGCCTGTTCCACTATCATGTTCCTGTATGTTCCACATAAAAGTGCTACCAAACGTGGAACAGGGATCCTAGTGATTTATGTCATGTCCAGTGTACCAAATGCACCCTAAAAGATTAAGCTTATTAAGAAACATATTCGATTATTTATACCTTTTGGCAGAGCAAAGCAAGCTGCCTTGAACTGATATTCAAGCCTGTGAAACAAAGATTTACGCTTTAAAATGCCAATATCTTTTTATACGGAAAAGAGAAAACAATTGTGCGTTGTATGTAGAAGATAAGTATCGTAATCACCATGAGAAGCAGCTATGGCTGACATGCTAGCTACCTCCACGGAGGCAGAAGAGGAGACGCCTTTCCCTTCTGGAACAGCCGAAGAAACCTGTTTTTTTTCATTTAACAAAACTTAAAAAACCAGCCGTATAATATTCTCTAGAATTGACTAGAAATCGGATAAACAAATACCAGCATGCTAATGCTGCTTTCGAATCGGATATCTAATTCTTTCATTAAAACAAGAATGGTGCCAGCAACGTACGCAGCCCATCTGAAAAATAAATCGTATTAGTATATCATATAACTTAAAATCGAAATTAGACACACGGAAATGAAAAAAAATACCGTTGTGACGGATCACGGGCAAAGTAACCTTTGGCCTTCTCATAGGAAATTGGCTGATCACCATCCATGAAATCCGATAAATCCATGTCAAAAGTCGGACCACGGTTGCTTAGTTCTGACCCATATGACACCTGATATGGTCCATAAAAGGAGACGATGAAGATATTTTATTTGTTCATAAATAACAAGTTCTACGGTTGTCAAACGTCCATGTTCTAAATAATGGACATCTGGCAACTGTGTTTGTTTATAAGAAAAATGCACAAATGATAAAGATTACATCAACTTACAATTTGGAGCACGGGTGTCGGTCCCTGTCCTTTGGCATGCTGTCTAGCCTGGGCATGCTTCCAGAGCCGTTGTTTACCCGGCTGGATTTTTTGCACAGCGACATGACAAGCTTCTCTAATAGGCATCTATGAGGTATTTAATTTCCGCCAAGAAAAATACAAAATGAATATACAATGAATGAGACACTGCAAATAACATAAAGAAAATAGAGGTCGATATATATATATATATATATATATATATTGTTATTGTTGTTGCTTAATCGTATCTAGTTTCTCAAAGTTTAGCATATTTGTCTTCATCTCGTTCTGTGTTTCTCCCTTTCACGCTTTTCACAGGGGTTGTCACAGAAACACCCGCTCTACTTTTTAGAGTAGAGGTTAGGTTTGCGTGCATCTTACCCCCTACCCCCTCCCCCCTCCCAGACCCCACTTCCCGGTGGGATATATTGGGCTCGTTTGATTTGGTTTAGAACTTGAAATGGTGCAGTCACGGTCATCAAGAACATACTTTCCAAAACGTACATATTCCGAAAAGAAAAAGACCAATAATAGCAGCTAGAAGGAAAAGAACAGATACCTGCAGAACGAGACTTCCAGAGTAGTCAGCAATTCCTCCGATAACATCCAATCTTCCAGGCGCTCTTGCCACGTATATATCTTCCTGTTTCAGTAAATAACTGTAACTACAAGCTAAGGAAACTATCATAGTTACTTAAAGAACACTTTGTGCCAAAAGTGTCGGACTGGACTGGACAGGCGAGAATGAGGTAGGTGGGTGAAAGAATTCCGGAAGGTTTTAGGGTATTAATTTGACATGGGTAGTTCAGTAATTTACAAATCTTGCCTAATCTCCTGATTTCTGTTCCACCTATTTTGGTGGGACAAAAAAAGCACATTTGTCCCACTTGGATCCTGTCTTGTCCCAGGACATGTCAATCCCAAACATGGGACCACAAGTTTTTGTACTGTCTGTCCCGCCCTATTTTGCGTACCTAACGCACCCGAATCCAAAACAAAAGATAAACAGGAAAGTGGCTTAATTTTAAAAGAGCAAGACCTCCCAATTGAAAAGGCCGGCAGCAGCCTTTCGCTCTCGAACATGATGTTTTTCAGTATTCTTTTCGTAATCATATACAGCATCTAATTCTGCCAAACTCCTCAAAAAACTCATTGTGTCGGGAAGACCCATAACATCGCCATGAAGAATATCAAAGTCCCCGGCGTCTCTGGAAAAATGGAAGAAATCTATTACGTCATGGGTATTATAGTAAATATAGACTTCAATCAAGAAGGGCACAAGTAAAACAAAAACTCACGAATTCTGGGGTAAGCTAGAATTATTACTATCGACTGAAAGTGATCCCGTCCGAAGACCAAGTTCATTCTCGGCACTCGCGTACCATTCCGGGATACTGATATCTCTTCCGGGAACTCTTTGTAATTGATATCCTAGAACTATGGCATCCCGTAATCTCCTTGCTCCACTAAGCTAAAATTGTGACGTTAAAGCGAGATTAAAACTATGCTGATCAGAAGAATTTCATGAAATAATAGAATTTCAGATAACAAAATGAAATTGTATAATTATGTACTTTATCTGATGCGTAATTCTTTCCGTTAGCTGTGTCCTGCAAAATACGAGCTGCCACCTGAAAATATATCAAAGCATTAAAGCATACAGTCTATCCAGGAGTATAAACTCTACCCTTAATTATGAGATGGATATATTCATTACTCCTCCTAGTATCAAGGGTAAAATTGTCATTACTTAATTAAAAAGTGTAATAATTACACGTTTCTAAAATTGTGTGCCTTTTTTCATTGTGGGCATTTTTTTTAGGACGGAGGGAGTATAAGACGATCATAAAGCAAGCGAAAAGATACCTGACCACCATTCACCGCACCGTCAAAACTCGGTGTCAAACTAGTCGCTCGTTCAAGGTACGGTCTCCAATGGCCCGTGAGTAAATCCCGCCTTATCATCTCAACACCACCTTGATAATACTGATAAAGAGTTTGTTTAGTTTACTTAACGTGAAAATGTCACGCATTATAATCATAGGAACCGGTGGTACCTCAAGCATATTTCTCAAAAATGGTTCTTCGTTGAAATAATCTCTGCGCACAAAGACAAAAGGTAATTTGTACGCCAAAGCTTCACTAACAGTTCCGTATCCAATCTTCCCTGAAATAACGTTAGCTTAATGAGCCAGAAAGCTTGATTTGCTTATTGTTATACAACAATCTGTTGAACTAACCACCAGTACCAAAGAGGGAAGGAATAAGTATTCCGTCACTAACCAAGCATACAATCTGATGCTGCCATGACATCAGGGGTATAGGCGTCTTTTGGAAGCTTTATGAAATTGGGAGGAAGCTCGCGCTCAGATGCCCCACAAACCTGAAAAGCAAGAAAATTATATCTTGTTTCTGATAAAATAAGTTTCTAACAGATAGAATTGTAGGGAATATTCATAAATGAATATACCAAGCAGAGCCAACCGGGAGGCAAGTACTCTTCTTTTAGCTTCCAACCTGCTGGCTGCAAATTTTCATGGGTATTGCATACTTTAGAAGATAAATACAACAATTTGTAAAACTATGCACATCTTTGAGAATGTGCATCGAAACAATAATAACCATTGAATCAATTGCAGTAATTCAAGAAGCGATGAAAAATAGAAAGATGTATATTTCAGATAGTAATTCTTTAAATCGAGGCAATTAAGAGCAAAACATGCAGTAAAATCAATTAAAGCAGCTTTTTGTGAAAATTAATGTTGCTCCGAGAATTTACTGCTGCATAGAGTTATATGGGTGTACTTATAAAATACTACTGATAGCTAGCTAAGGACCTGTTGGGTTGGTTTTCCACTAAGTCCTGTATGAATAAAGTTGTCTGTCTGTATAGATTGGGAAGGTTTTCATTTGGGAGGGTTTTTTCATAGATGGAAGGTGTGTGTTTTTTAATTGGGAAGGACACGTTTGGAAGAAACTTGGTTGTCTGCATAAAGCTCCCTCCTAGAATCTTACTGAATAAGCCACTTTTTATATCATTAAGCCACTACCAAACAGTCATATATAGCTGAACAAATAAGTTGTGAATCCTATTAAGTTGCTAACAAACAGACCCTCAGTAGCCGCTTTACTCTCTGAGGTAGAGGTCAGGTGTGTATACGTCTTACCCTCCCAAGACCCCACCTCCACGGGGGTTATACTGGGTTTGTTTGGTTTGGTATGGTTTGGTTTTTAGCTAGCTAAGCACCATTAACTAGGGGTTTAGGGAATAAATAAGCTTTCGTAACTTTGTTGGGATGTATGGAGGGGCACCGTCCTTTGGTTAAACGACATGCTATCAGGTTTCCTCTTAGATAAGATGGTAGAACAATCACTAAATATGCAGCATACCTTTGGACATAAAGATGAACCATTAACTTACTTGTCCACCAAAATTGAGTATAACGAGCTTCACATCCTCACTAATCCCCATTTCGCTCCTCACCTGCAAGCAAGATAAAGAAAGTATACGTTCAATATCAAAATATTGGATCAGACCAAAGGGTGATCGGCCCAGTGGTTCCCGGGTTACCAGTAGATCCCAGCCTCCCACGAGGTCAAGGGTTCAAAACTCACCAAAGGTTAGGGGTGTGCGTGAATATTTGCCGTATATATACACACTTCATAATATATTCAACCAAGTCTAGCAACGGGAAAACAATAGAAGCAAAACCAAATATTCTGTCACAAACCTCCTTGCGTGATTTGTGCAGTCTCCTCACAACCAAAGGTACATCAATCACGTCCCTAAAAGCAGGCACTGCACAGGATATTTTTGAATGAAAATATGTTACTTACATCAGTAACTGTATATAACGAGCGTTATATAGCACACGATTCAAGAAATATAGAACACCAACATACTTGGGCAGTATCCAGGTAGACGAATCAGGAATTCACAATGTGAGTAGTCTTCGGCTATCTGTATCAATTGTCAATGAAGTTAAATTCAATTATATGCTAAAAACAACCCAAAATAGGTTAAGAACAMAAGAAGTAATAGCACAAGAAACAGCATTTCTTCTTTGTTCTTGAGGTAAAGTAGAGATTACTACTTCTACAGCAAAAAAGATGGTACCTGCCAAACTATTGACCTATGATGATATCCAGCAGCCATAACATATTCCGCATAAATGAAGTCCCAACTGCAATAATGAAATTAAAGTTAATAAAATGGCAGATAATATGAGCGATTGGTTACCAGAAGCTTTTTGCACACAAAAAAAACTGTAGAAACTAGAAAAGCTCCAAAACATGTCATTTCTAACACTTCCCCGGAAAGACTACAAATGAGGACCTTGTCGTAAGAAATTTTTAACAGAAACAACCGAGAAATCACCAAATCCTTCATCCTTGGAATCACTTTATTGGTCCATTAGCAAAGTCATTTTGACATATAAGAAACCAACTGATACTTTCTGCTTTAAGGGGTGCTGCTAAATCAGCAAATGAGAAATCTTTTTGAACTATATGCACTAACAAGAGTCGGTTGATCACATTTACCTGAAATTCGTTACACAAACTGATCGTATACCCGCATCAGCTGCTGCACGGCAAGCAACTGCAACAACATCCGATACCTGTTTCATAAAACAATCTTCGTATAAAGCTCAAAAGCAACTTAGAAGCCTGAACAAGGAAACAAATATGTAAGCAGGTTATTACCACTAAGTCTGCCTTGATGGAGTTTAGCCACTCAACTTCTGTAGCCAAAATAGAAGCACGAGGTGCAACAGCTGTCTCAGAATACTAGATTAACCAATACCCATAAAGAAAATGACATCAATACCACTAAAAAAGATATAAACAAATGAAGACAAGATAAACATGTTATTCTTTTATATCATCTGAAACGGCCAAGATATATTTAGTCACTTGACACACCTTTTCCAAGGAGGCAAGTCGATCCACCGTTAAAGCATCAGCTTGAACAGCTCCACAGTCCAAAACCAGCTGTAATACAACGTAATTTAATCTAAAAGATTCAGAAGATTAAGATTTCTAAAGCATGTAATTTCCCACCAAACCCACCTTCCGAAGGAAAAGTCGTGGAGATTGTATTTCAGTAGTGAACACAAAGTCCGGTGCACCAGTCACCACATGGACATCATGGCCAGCAAGAATTAGATGGCGAACAACCTACACAAAGCTCAAAAGGAAATTTAAAAAAGAACATAAAAATAAATAATAAACTACTGTCACTTAGTATAAACTAAGTTCTAAAATCTGATCAAACCTATATTATCTTTATATATGCGCTTATAAAATGCATACAGTTTGGCCTAGCGGTATCTGGACCTTTCGCCATTTTGGAGCCTTTATTGAACTTTATTTTTAATTTCTCTTCAAACATGGACCAAGTAAAGATCTCCAATACCATTCCACCATGGATGGTCTCATAGGTTATAAGATTAAAGTTCAATAAACTCCCCAAAACCCTAAAAACACCCCATCTCCAATTTCTTGGAGATTTGAAGAATTCAAATTGAAGACAATTCAATCATTTGTTCTTCTTCGTGATTCTCATCAGCAACAAGGGTTTGCATTCATTGTAACCTTACAAAATTGCAAAGGGTTGGGATTTGAATCATCTAAACATCAATCAAAACTTTGAACCAAACGAATTTAAATTGCAATCCCAATTATCGATCACTCCTATTGATAATGAGCATGTTCATAACATAGAAACAAAAACCCATCTTTCCTATCATATTCAAAATTCATTTATACGAAAAGGGTTTACACTTGAAGACTGAAAGATCATAAAAAAACAAAAATGAAAACTCCAAATTGACAAGGGGAAGTACCTCAACAACACGTGTGGCATGACCGAAGCCATGACCAGTAACATAATAAGCGAATACAAGATGATTTCTGGAAGCTGATACTTCTTCCACACCGTCTTCAATCCTCATTTTGGGTCACTGTAAAAAAATGAGTGAAACACAGAAATCTTGATTTTCGACCAATGTGAGTTCGTGTATGATCACAGAGCAAACCCACATGAGGGGATTTTAATAGTGTTAGATTAGATAGAATAGAGGGATGATCATCCGATTTGGTAGGAGAAAATGACGCCAAATTTGGGATGAAGATAGAGAAAGATCGTTTAATAATAATGATAATAAATAATATTAACATGGGATGTGTCCTCCTTATCCTCTGCTGTTTAACTGATGCGAAAAGACGAGGTTTTAGTCCATCAACTATTTACTCGTTGTCATTTTAAGTCCTTCAAAAATGAAAATTTGCATAAACCCATGTTTTTAAATAATTTTCAGTTTTTAATACATATTCTTGAGTTTTGCCTTCATTTTTTGTAAAGATATTTATTTGATACAATTAATAGAAATATATTATGGTTTTAATGCAATTTAAGAAATGTATTATAATATAATTCTATAAATAGAAAAAAAAATATTAAATTTTATTGATTAAAATACCTTATTATATATATTACATTGAAGTTTTTAACAATATGTGTTTTTAAAATCGGAAACCACGTTAAAGTACGTCTTTTTTTAGTACGATTTAGTTTTCTTATTATCGACATAACAAAGTAATAAATAAAAACTATAAGCCTTACACTGTTTCACGTGAGACCAGTTTGTTTTTGTGAGATCCGTAAGATTTGTGAGATTCATTAAAACTTATACCTTTAAGTTTTGTTTTACATGACTTTTTCCATCTACGTATAGTTTTTATTGTATCGATGAACATATATTTGTTTCATATGTATTCGGTTCACGAGGTGAAACTTTTGTACGTGTATTTTTTGTTTCACAAACATGTCAAAAAGTTTTCACATTATAAACCGAATACATGTGAAACAAAACTACTATGAAATAAATATATGTTAACCACTACATTAAATTATAGTTATAAATGAAAAAATATATATATAAAATAACACATGGTACACTAATTCTCAAAGATGTTAAGAATTATAGAGTTCTCAAAAAAGATCCTTGTATCAACTCAGATCATGTAATATTAGTTAAATAAGTTTATTTGTATGTAAAATTTATCGATTGAAAATGGCACATGTCTATATAGAGCAGATTTGGGATCACGTTAGACCAGTCTGTTTTCGTGAGACCACTTGTTTACACTTGAAACTTCACAGCAAAACGCTGTGAAGGTAACCTTCATAGTTTTTTTGCTGTAAATGTACGACTTTTTTTATCTTCACAGTGTTTTACTGTGAAGTTTCAAGTGTAAAAAATTGTCCCACGAAAACAGACTGGTGTCACGTGAACCCAACTCAGATATCTATTGTTTATCCTAAATATTGTCATAGGTATCTGTTCAAATCCAAAAAAAAATTAAAATTAAAATAATACTTGATATGTTAAATCAAAAATGGTGTTTTGTTAAAAATCAGTTGATGGATCCAAATAACGTGGGACCTCTAAGTTGACAAAATGTATTGAAAAATCGTTACAGAATTAAATGCCTCATAATGATAAAGGTCTAAAAAATTTTTGGTATATGATTGATTTGACGACATTTTTATACGTAATTTATCGATAACAAATTGATTCGATATTTAGACTGAAAGTTGGAATTAACGTAAATTTTATCTTTTTCTTTAACAGAAAAATATGAAAATATTCTAGAAACTAGTTGTTTGTACGAGGCATTGACCTAACATGACTTCCCAACTCGTATTAACGGACTTAGGCTTGAAGATTAGTATTTTAGGTACTTAGAAACCGTTTATTAAACACTTACTCAAATAAACATTTATCAAGTCACCTTAGCTTAATGAATGAATATGACAAAGACCAAGAATCTTACCTGGTAAGAGCGAAAGCAAGTACCGAAAGTCTTACCATGTAAAGTGAGAGCGACGACTTTTACCACAGTTAAGGCTTATCGGGTAAATTGTTGCATACGATACCGTTTTGGTAGACTAAAATCTTACCTGGTAAGTAAGTAATGGTGTTGAATTTACAGGTTAAGTGTTTAGGTAAACGATCTTTTATTTGAGCCCATGTTTGGCCCTCGAAAGTCGAAACACCGGCCCTTCTAGGTATTGTCCTTAGAGTAGGTTTTGTTCTGATTTAAATAGTAGACATTATGTGCATATCTATATGTGTCTATGCACCATATACGATAACATCATTGTACGTATTTTGTGTTAAAGTAGACTATGGGGCTGCTTACCTAAATGTTTACCCGGTAAATGTTTAACGTTATGAGTCTAACACTATAATTTATTTTACTGGATATGATTGTAGTACATCAAAACGTATCATATGCAACAATTTACATGGTAAGCACTCACCCGAATAAGAGTCGTCACCCTCACTTACCGGGTAAGACTCTCCATCCTTATCATCACTCTTACCGGGTAAGATTTTTGGCCCTTATCATATTCATCCGGAGAGGAAAATTACCCGGTAAGTACTTACCGGGTAAGCGTTTAGTAAACAGCCCCTATGTATTTAAAAAAAATGTAGTAAATATCTTACATGACCAATCATTTGTTTCACTAATGCATCCTGATGAACAGTTCCCAAAAAAAATTAAATTTCCAATCTCCAGTTTCTGTACGTGTCAATTCCAACAGAACAACAATTTACGAACTTATCTCTTTGACTTGAGCACATGTAAATTGTTTGCTCCCATTTGTTTTCATATATCGACTTTTGATCGCCCAACCGTTGTTTTTGCTCATCACTTCGTAGCGTCTTCATTACTCTTTTGGATTTCTCGATAAGCATTTGCTATTAATAATTGTCGTTTCCATTATTGCTTTTTTCAATTATCGATGTTCGATTGATGTATGCATCTTTCAATTTACGATGTTGTACCGATTTTTATTTATACCATCTTCACGGGTCCTTCTTAAAAAGACCCTTACGTTTGGTCATGCTTTCTCTCCTACCGGTCGAGCTTAATTTCATTCAGCCACTCCTCAGCTCACTTCACTACCTTTTTTCTTATTTGTCGTAAGTGTTATTTTTTAATTTTGTAAGAATTTTCTTTTTATGATATTTTTTGCTTTTAATAAAAAGGAATATGTAATTAAGTTTTACACCCAAGTTTGGCAACCTACCGAGAAAGACGAGACCTGTAAATTTACACTAGCATCGAGCTGAGAGGGAAATTTCGATAAGAAATCAAACTAAAAGCGTGTTCAGTAAGCAAAAACAAATACGTATTGGTTTATTTCATGAGGACAAAACATCACAAAGGTCATGTAGAACATTTCTATTGACTTATTCCGGTGTAGCACCGATAATAAACACTTTTGAGTGTTTGAATAAACAACTTATACCGGTGTTAAACCGGTAATAAGAAGTTTTTAAAGAAGCTAAACATTTCTGACTTATAATAAGTTGATAAGTGCTTTTGTAGAAAAGTATAAATTGTTTTAAATAAGCAATCCTAAACACCACTTATTAACATTAAGACGTAGAAAGACTATTTGCTTACATCTTTTTTAATTTATGCCACTTTTATGCATGAATTGGTTTCTAATACTTTTATTTGTATATCATCTCATTGATTCAGATATAAGAACCCAGATGAATAAACTTCGTATTTTATCATTTTGCTGTAAGATCTGGTATTAACAATTGAAGTAGATTTACTGTTTGTGTAAAATTTCATACTGATTTTATGGATTTGATGTTACCCATTGGAGTATGGAGATGCACTTAGCTAGATGTGATGCCGAACTTCTACGTTCATGTTTTGTAGGTGTATATAAAGTCGATCGGGTTGGATGATTTATGCGACTTAGGTACCTTTTCGTTTTGAAAAGTGAGGGTTAAAAGCGTTCGAAAAACAACTAGAGGGGTACAAGATAATATTTATGAATAGTTTAGGGTCCAATTAACAAATCTTGAGCACGCCGTGATAATATTGAATTGCGTGAACCAACGGAAGACGTCGTTGTCGTCTCCGATTCAAGTGGAGAAGCCATGGTGGTTTTTGTCACGATTTAAAGTTTGTTTCAATTTATAATTAAATATTTGAAATAAAAAAATATAATAATTTATACTATATTATAAAACATTTGATAAAAACTCTAAAAAAATATTTTTTATACAAAAAATATTGTTTATTAATATATATTATTTAAAATTCAAGATTACAAGTAAATAATAAATAAATATAACTTATTAAAACTCAATGTTTGAATTTATGTAACTAACTGCAGATAAACATAATCAAATATTGGATAAGCATTCCATTTTAATAATAAAAAATCTAAAATATAATTAAGATAATCAATGTGTTATAACAGAATATTTTAATTATTATCTTTATAAAAAATTATATTATTAAATTTAAATAAATCACTTTGTTATTAAACCTAAATTAAATTATAATCAAAAAAATGAATTAAAGAAATTACGTAATAAAATAAGAACTTTTAAATAGTTAATTTGATATTAATATGGATATATATTTTTTAAATTTTTTTAAAGATATCTTCAAATTTATATTTTATTTAAAAATAAAAACAATATTTTTTTCCTCAAAATTACATAAAACCGTATTATAACATCGACATGAGACAAAAATAAAACGAAACATTAAATTAAGGTGTATCTCGCTGTATTACACGAATACCCTTCTAGTTGTTAATAAATAAATTAGTAAATTTATTGGTTTTAAAAAGCAATTGTAAATTTAAATTAATACCCAAAATAAAACTTATATCAATTTGAACAAATTAAAAGTTAATAAAAAAAGTTTCATACATATGAAATTAATCAAATATTATTAAAAGGACAAATTGTATGAAAAAAGTAATATATTTTAACTTGATTTTTATTTTGGGTAATGAACTTTCAGAACTTTCATTTCAGTACCTAAAATGTAGAGTTTTGAACATTTAAGTACCCGAGTAACCTGTTAAAGCATTAACCATTTATCATGTTGATGTGATGAGTGATGTGAATCCAACCCAATATTATTTGCTGACGTGGTTAGTGACATGATTTTTTTTAAATCTAAAATTAGTCTTTTTTTAACCTAAAATATTAGATAACAATGACGACGTTATGATAAGAGAATTTTTATACAAAATTATCATATGAAATGTTATCTCGAGAATATATTACACATAAATTTATGTGGACAATGGTTATAACATAGAAATTCGACAACTTGTGTCGTGTCATCAAAATTCAAGTCAGTAGGTTATCTACGTTATAATAAAATTTTCATGGTATAATGCTTAAAAAATATTTTGAAATAGAATATTATAATAAAATAAATAAATAAAAATATAATTTATAATAAATGAAATTTAAGAAAGTACAATATTGTTTCTTGCACTTGATCATGGTTCTAGATAACTTGTTATGGTGTGTTATTGCATCAAGGCTTCGGTTCGCCGTCATACTAACCTCTATTACTCCACTCTAAGGCTTGACTTGCATTTTAACCCATTATGACACGTTACAACACGTTATGGCACGCCACAACATGTTATTACGTAAGGGGTGGAGTTACTATAATATATAACTTGAGAAACAAATGATCATTATGTACAAGACCTAGGATTTTAATAAATATTAATTTGTTATATAATACACACATACACATATATATATATATATATATGTGTGTGTGTGTGTGTGTTATATCTTAAGGCATGCCAAAAAAACATCATAGTATGATCACATCATTTGGAAGCTTACATTTAACCTAGATAATAATATATAAGAAGATACAAGATTGTGGTTTTAAAATAACTATTGTTACAAATTATTGATCGTAATATAATTAAAAGTGTCATGGTCATTGACTACAACATGGGATACCATGCATGGGTATCGTGGTCGGGTTATTACGGTAGAATTTTGATTATTCTGCACTTGGAACGTGCTCAGACTTTAAAACAAAGAGAAAACAAGTAAGCACGGGAATGGGTCGGAAATGAGATGGGGACCTCAATCCTCGTCCCCATTCCCCGATTATTTATCTTTATCTCCGTATCCATCCCCGTCCCCACCGGGGAATATAATCACATTCCCACCCGTAAATCAGCCTTTACACAAAAACCGACTGGGTCTAATGTTTCAAATACAAAAGTTCAATATCTATATTATAGGTTCAATTCAAAAATGAATTTGGTTGATAAGGATCGACTATTTTTAGTCAATTTCCATAGAAAAGAAGTACAGAAAAGGATATGCATCGATCAAGCAAGTATTAAGTCCAGAGAATATCATCCACAAAAATAAAACCAAACAAAGCACGTTGTAATCGACCCGGCTGGAATTGGATGACAATATGATCCACAAATTATCAAAAACAAGACCAATAACATGTCATGGAAATAAACGTCTAGATATTAACGTATTCAATATGTAACGTTCTTCGGAAGGTTGCGGATTACATTACTTTTCATGCCCATTTTGGATCGCATCGCCTCCACCCCTGACCTATTCATCTGCTTCATCACCTTCATCCTCACCATGTTCTCTCTCGATTGCACCGTTGACAAACCCATGCTTCTATACCTGGATATGTACACATGTTCAACATCATGCATAAACTAAATCAAACCAAACAAACCAACGCACTACATTCCACTCGAAAGTAGGATCTAAGAGGGATGAGATGTACAGACTTATCCTCCATCCCAGACCCAGAGGGTAGAGCGGCTTAAATTCACCCAGGAAATTAAATGATGGCTACAATTCATGTTTGCTTTAAATCTGTCTCAGTCGTGAATTTGGAGAGTAGCTCATTATAAGTTGCAATAAAAGTTGTGGGATATTTAGGCTTACCTTGCAGCCAACACAGCAGTAATGGCAATTCCATTTGGAGATGGACGTGGTTTTTGACGATAATAGCGCAAATATTCCCTAGAGCCAATTGATTTGGTTGATATTCTATCATCAATTGCTCTACTTATTATGAGTTCAGACCCACCGCTTCCGAGCTCTATGCTGTCACCTGTGCCATCAGCAGTCACGAGCTGCTTCCCATCTCCATCTAAGTAACTAGAATCATAGGAAAATTATCATATCAGCTAGTCATACGTGGTTTTACACTTTTACAGTAGTCTACATGCTATAAAAGGTGCATCAAGAAGGAACAATAGGAAACAGAGCTATGCTACATGAATTGGATTGCAAGAAAAGAGAAGTCAGATTCATTGATAAATACCTGCTGCTATAATCATAGAATTCTTCCAATTCAGCTTCTTCCTCTTCATCATCATCACCATAGTGCACTCTGCAATGACTTTTTGCCACCATATGCTTCCTAACTGCTTCTACACTGTTGAAAGGCTGGCAATTACTATTGCAGTATAAGCAAGTGTAATCACGTTTAACCTGTACAAAGAACCATAATAGTAAGACAAGTGTCGTAACCTCTTAGGGATAACATGAACACACATAATACTTTTTTTGAAGTACATAATATAATTTATATAAGGCAAATGCAACAAAGGCCATTGGTGAGGTTTGAATCCCTGACCTCTTAGGAGGCAAAGGCTCAGATACCGCTAGGCCAAAGGCCCTTTGGTCATAATACTTCAGTCCTAAGAAAAGAAAATTCTTTCTAATATCAAATGAAGTTCCCTTCGTTCACAAGTAGAAACCTTAAATTTCAAATTACCAAATGCGATCGATACATGATGAAAAACTGAATCAAGAATCCACATGCGATTTTTTTACCATCATGATCTTATATATTAAATTAATCACCCTCAGAAGTGATTTTGACAGGGAAATTCAGATGATCTCTTCTGCTATACATGGAGTGCCATCCAAAAGATGTACCCCAACAAAAGATTGCAAAGTAACCACCAATTGGCCTTTGCCTCAATAGTATATGGATCTCTACAATCCTTTACATGTAAACTCGAAGTCTCTTTAGAGACATGGGTTTGCATGTTTGTTTGACCATTTCAGAAAGAAAAAGGAATAGAAAAAGAAGGATTGCAAGTATCTTACCTTAAGTCCAAGATAGGTAAGAAGACCTTTTGGATCTTTCAGATACTCAACATCAGGTATGAAGAAACCATGATGCTTGTGCATATGGATCATGCACCTTTCAATAGTTTTATGGTTTTGGTCACACATAAAGCAACAAGTTGAATCCAGCTCATCCTCATCCTTGTCCTCATCCATATCCTCATCAGAAGGCACTCCATTCATCTCCATATGGTTCAAAGATGATGTCATTTCACCAATCACGTCATCGTTTTCGTCAACCTCCTCCCATTCATCACTTCCATCACTTTCCTCACTGAACTCCTCTTTATGTTGGAGATGCTTGTTCACAATACGGGGTGGAAGTGGCCTTATTATTGCCGCATCCTCGTTTTGGTGCCCATCCAGGGATACCCGAGTGGTATGAGCCCGGGAATTTAGATGTTGAGCATGAGCCTTGGAACTTCTATATCCTTTGCCACAAAGACCACAAGTATACAGCATAGGAGGTCCGGTCAGCTTACTTTTCTCTTCCGCAAGTGCGGACTGTCTAGCTAAGAAGAGTGCTTCTGTCACTCCTGGAACCCCTGCCATCTGAATTTCGAAGCCCAACTCATTAATTACAAATATGTGACAAATAAAATGACGAGATGTATCAAGAGAACACCAACATACACCTTCCATTCTGCTTTAAAAGAAATCAAATATGCATTAAACATTTACTACTCTGCTAATAGAACATGTTTGATCTCACACAAGAAAATCCATGTACAATGAAATTAAGATGACAAGAAAGTTTGAAGTCAAGATAAAGGGATTATGAGTATTCTAACAGTTAAATTCAACTATCGAGTACTTTCTTTCTCTTATTCTTTCTCAATCAATCATGTTTTACAAGGGCCGAACAAAGAGCATCTGGCTTCACGGAGAAGCGACATAAGAGGCAAACTTCTGTATTTTCCCCATACATCTAAGCAAAGATGATCAACTGAATTTTCTCCTTAGCCTCCTAACTAAAAAAATCCTCTACAAAATTGAGCACAAGAACCGAATAAAACTCTGATCATTTACAATCTTTCCCTTATATTACAGATCCAGAGCAAGAAAACATCAGAAATTGCTACAGATTACAACAGTAGCATCTACCTCTATCATACTGTCATCAAAACAAGTCTTCAACATTGTCACCAACTAACTATTAACAGTTAAAATAATCCAAAGAAACAAATTCCTAAAGACTTGAGACAGCAAATTCCTCTACTTCTATAACGCAATTAACATGTTCCAAACTTCCAATCAACAAAGTTGATGGAGATAATTTATCTCAGTGAGAGAGGAACCAGGAATGTAGATGTCGGAACATCTGTTTTTAAGTTCAATGGTGCAAAAAAATTGGCTCAAAAGCAAATAATTTCATCGTGACAGCGCAAACCAACCGATTTTATACCAAAATTAGTAAGAAGACCTTTTGGATTTGATAACAATTAGGTTAATCAGAAAAAGAGTAAAATCGAAGAAATTTAGTAGTTAACGCTTAACATACAGAAATTTAGCTTAAAACCTAATGAATAAACAAAGTCTATAGATTAATTTACCTTGCGTTTGAGGTTGTAGCGGTGCCATTCAGACTTGTAATGAGTCTTCTGATCGTTTTCATCAATGAGTTCTTTGTTGCAGGCGTTGCATGCTAACGCCGACATATTTCTAGAGAGAGAAAGAGAGGTAGAGATTGAGAGAGAGATACGAGCTATAACTAAAAACTGGATGTATACGAAGGGAAGGGTTTAAAGGCGGAGAACGTCGGTGGGAGGGAGGTAGTCGGCGAAGGCAAGACGACCTGACCTAATCGCTCGCGTCATGTCCCGGTGGCGCTAGTAGACCCGTCACCCGTGCCAGATAGCCCACTAAATACGACCCGTTAAAAAGCAGGGCTTTTAATATTTTTCTTATAAATAAAAGGTGTTACGCAATGATATTTATATTTTGATCCGGTTAAATCATACTAAAAGGATATTCGTACAATATAATAAAATACATTTTTATTTTAATGTTTTGTTTTATTTTTTTATTTTTATTGATATAATACGGTTTATGTGGTTCCGATAAAGATAATATTTTTACTTTTAAATAAAAATAAATTTGAAAAAGTATATCGATATTAATATCAAATTAACTATTTAAAAGTTCTCATTTTTTTTTTACAATTTTCTTCATTCAATTTTTATTATAATTTAATTTAGGTCTAATAGCAAAGTAATTTTTTTTGGCTTAACAATATATTTTTTATAAAGATAATGATTCTGTTACAAATCAATAATTATCTTAAAAAATATTTGATTATGTTTATCTACAGTTAGTTATACGAATTCAAAAATGAAACTTTGATAAATTGTACTTAGGCAAAATTTACTTGTAATTTTAAATTTTAAATAATATGCATTAATACACAGTACTTCATGAATAAATAATGGTTTTTAAAAGTTTTTTGTCAAATGCTTTATAATATAATATAGATACTAAAAATATAGTAAAAAAATAAGTTTTATTGTTAGTTGTTGTTTATCAAACACTTACTAGATAAGTGCTTACTGGTAAAATTCAACACTATCAGTTACTTATCGGGTAAGATTTTAGTCCACCAAAACGGCATCGTATGCAACAACTTACCCGGTAAGCGTTTACCATGGGAAGAGTCGTCGTTCTCACTTACCAGGTAAGACTCTTGGTCCTTGTCTCGTTCTTATCAGGTAAGATTCTTGGTGCTTACCATATTCATCCGATAATGTAATGTGACTTGGTAAGCGTTTATCCGAGTAAACGTTTGATAAACGGCTCCTAAATGTACATAAGAAGAAGATCGTAGCTGTGAATAGATTTAGGGTCTATTTTTTCAGGTTCATTCCATGTGCGGTCCAGACCCACAAGTGATCATCGCTACCCCATACGAGTGTCGTGTTTAGCATAAAGTTTGTTTAAACGTCAGAAATAACCAATTTCATATGATTTTATTGATAAATAATAGAATCAGAACTCACTGAACACTTAACATCATCAAAAGTAATTATTGATGTTTTTAAATGCATTTAGACACTATTTTTTGCATCGTATTATATGATAATTGATTGTCTTATTCAATATTACCAAATTCTTTTCGATGAAGATCATGTGATATTTTTTTTTTTGAAATATGAGTTAAGCTGAGAAGTGTAAGAAGGAATTTGAACCCTTAATCACTTTTAATCTCAAACTAACCCATGAATTGCATTTTGTAAAGGAATTTATCTGGTTTAGTGTTGATCTAATGTTTCTCTTCAATATGATTTGATCCAATAGTGGAGATCCCTTATTACCCTTCTCAATTCCCACCATAAGTAGATCAAAAGGAAGGGAAACGATAGCATGACCATCAGTGTAATAGCCGATGTGAAGAACATACAACGATGGGGTGACACAGAGTGACGAGGGAGAGTGATACCATTGTTTGTAAGGAGGTTGAAGGGCGTTAAGTTTGGAAACGGTAAAACTGATTTAAGTTTCTTTTTTAATTTAATACCTTTATAATCGGTTACAGGTAGCTGTGTTTGTTAAAAAGGTGCAAGTAACTAAATTTTAAAAGTTCTTTGGTTTATTTATTATAAAAAATATGTTCAAGGACTTGATCATTAAAAATAAGAAAGTGTAATGATGTTTCATTCAAAAAAATAGTTCAGGGACTTGATCATTTAAAATAAGAACGTTTAATAGTTTTTTCATTTAAAAATATAATTTAAGGACTTAATCATTTAAAAATGTGATAATTTGTTGGGTTTTTATGAACTTTTTTTTGTTTTTTTTATAATAATAAAAATTAGACGAAGGTATCATATTTTGATGGAGATAATAAATTATACACCATCTCCTATAAACTGGTATATCTCATCCCTCCCCGATTTCCCCTCACCATTAACATCGGTTAGTTAGGGTTTGGATATGTGTTATAGTTTAATTTTGATTTAGGGTTCGACTGGTGTTTATCAGTTGCTGGTCCATTTAGGGGTTTGACGTGATGTTGATTTTGGTCTTAGATATCAATTTTGATTTTGGTTTTTGGATCTTAGGTTTTGACTTAGATTTCGTGTAACCAGCCAAGAGGTTTGGTCCCTGCATAATCGACAAGGGATTCATGTAACAGAAGATGGATTTGGTCCATGTGTAATTGGTGGATTACAAAAGGGAAGAGGGTCCCCAATGATGGTAAAATGACTAAAATACCCTTTATTAAATTGGACTTAACAAAAAAAGTTAACAGTCGTTTGGATGTAGAACAAAAACCGTTACAAGGTGTTAAACGTGAGAGATAAATCTGTTCAAATAAAATTGCGGGACGAAAACCGTTAAAATTGACAGACGTTAGGAACAAAAAATGAACTTTACTCTCCTTCTTTAAGCTAATTATATTATTTTGTTTAATTATTTTTGATTGATTAATATTTAATTACTCAAATTCAATTTAAAGTTATAACATATTTTCTGAAATTAATATTTTATTCAAACGATTACTAATCTAGTTTTAAATTAATTCATAACATTTACTTCAAAAAGAAATTGATTTATAACTATCTATGTCTATACTATATTATAAAACATTTGGATAAAACTTTTAAAAACTCTTAAAATTATTAAAAACTCTTAAAT